TAATGACACCATCATCTTCAGGTTATCTTTTCATTGGGTGGTGTGGCAAGGAATGTTGCTGATTGCATCTCGAAGCTTGAAGTGAGACCATTCATGATAAGTGCTGTTGGATTTGACATGGCAGGTGAATTCTCTCTATAGTTAGCACAGTTCTGTTGCCACTAGTCCAACATTTTATGGAATTGGTCTTTTTGGTAATAACTGACAGACCTAACGGATTGGATTTGTTGAAAGAACACGCTGTCAGGTTTAGGAAGGTTACCTTCATAAGTGTTGTTATCTTTCTCTTCTATTCAAGAAAACTCAACTTTTAGCGTGAATGATGTAAGTAGGTTATGTTCTCCCCCGTCTTATATTTTGCAATATCATGACCACTTTATAAGTGTTACTATCTCTGTCATCTATTCCAAGAAAACTTAACTTTTATCGTGAATGATGTAAGTAAGTTATGTTCTCCCCCATCTTATGGTTTAGAGTTTCATGTCAAGTGAAAGCAAAGTCTAGAAAAATAAATCCATTTGAAATTCCACCTTAATCTTACAGGTAAATCTATTGCATGACTTTATTGATTGAATCTACAGTGATGCGCTGTTATACAGGCACATGTGTAGATTATGATATAACTCAGCATTGAAATTTCCAATAAGGTCAAGGTGTCCTTTAGCTTGTACTCATGCTGATTATGTTTGTCTATGGTAATATTAACAGTGTTGCCAAAAAAATTAATTCCAAAAATGGGATAGCTTAATGTTTTATAGAAGCGTTTCTGTCGCATCACTCTAGAACAACAAATTAGTATGAGTTGAGAACTGAGGACTTGCACATGCTGTTCTATTTTTATAGGAAATATGCTACTGGAACACTGGGAATCTGCTGGATTATCTATAGAAGGTAACCTTTTTGACCTTTTAATGAACTGTCAACCTAATATTTTCATTTGCCATTAACTACGTTGACATGAGAAGGGTTCATTTTCTAACTACTTTACTTTCTCTTTTTCCTTCCTGTAACACATTCCCAAGTGCTTGAGAAATCATTTTGCCTACTTTGGAAATAGAGTGATGCTTTCACTTTATGAAAGTGGATTGCCTACTGCCAAATGAAGGCTAGTTGCATATCATTTAAGTGAACAACTAGTCATGTTTTGACATTGGAGGCTTCTCATGACTCATGTATTAAAGATCAACTGCAGAATCTGATTAGTCATCCTTGACTAGGTATCCAGAGACATCAGAATATTGAAACTGCTATTGTTTGTCATATCTTTGATGAGAAAGGTGAAGTGGCAGCTGGTGTAGCTCATGTAGAGTCAATTGTGAGTTGATTTAAAAATAAGCAGTTAAAAGTTAATAGTCACTGTTACCTACTATTAATGTGTGTTAAATGCCTTTAAAACAGGAAAAGTTTCTCACTCCAATGTGGATAGAAAAGTTCAAGTGCAAAATAAGCTGCAGTCCAATATTGATGGTTGATGCAAACTTGACTTCTTCTTCTCTTGAAGCATCTTGTCAACGTAAATGCCTCCCTCTTACATTGTTAATTAATCTGCATTTCGTTGTTCAGGAGGTGCTAAATTTCTCATTATATATATTTATCAAGTGGTGATATGCACAGCAGAACTTATTGATTCTCAAAGTACCACATACATGCTCTTCATTGAAGAGAAAGATATCACATATATGCTTAAAGCGATACATACTTGAGTTGTATTTTAGGAAATAATGTTGAAGCTTAAAACTAAAAAGCATATTTCTTCTGCACAAGCAATCTACTTCTAACTGCTGTCTGTGTTGTCCGGCTAGGGGTGCAAGTATCCAATACAGGTGCAGATCTAGAAACTGGATTCATCATGATGTAAATCTTAAGATTCAGGGTACAGATCCACGTAAGGATAAAGTGTTGGGATTCAGCTTAAGCTATTTAGCGTCTAAATATAGAGCTACACGTATCTGCTTAAATTATTAGAAATATTCTGTAAATAACTTATATGCAGCTTGTAGAGTCCAGTCGATCAATCTTTTATTCTGATGTTGCTTCTAAGGATCTGATAGACTGCTGGTCCATCAATTGTCTCTAGGAATGCATCTACGAGAAAAGTATGCTTTAAAGTAGTTCTGGTTGAGTTCTGCACGTGTGTAATGTCTATAGGTGCTTTGGCATAAACAGTTTCCAGTTTACATACAAAATTTATCTATAATAGTAAGAAAAATTTGCATAATCTTGTTTTGATTAATTTTCTAACTCCTTAACTATTACTAATTCAGTTAACGATTTTGTTGCTTGTTGGTCATTGTCTATTGTTCTAAATTCCAAAAGTCAAAGTTTTACTAGATGTTCATCTACTATTTGGAGTCTTATCTTGAATGATCATCTTCCTCACTGGGAGATGAATTACTCTTCTCCAACATTTCTCCATAGTAAAGCCCTCGTGTTTATGTAACTAGGCAAATACTGAACCGAGTATTTTGTATTACCTATTGGGTAGGCGCAATTAATCAAAATTCTATCTAGAAAGCTCGAAACCTACTTACTGTCTTGCAGTCCAATATCTCTTGTTTGTAAATGTTGTAAGATGCTCAATATTCTTTATCTACTACTTTAGTACTTCAGTAATATGTATCGATATTTATGAACCATTTTCAAACATTTTCCTCTCAGTGGCTGCTCAGTTTAATACTCCAGTATGGTTTGAGCCTGTATCAGTTGCCAAATCTAGAAGAGTTGCTTCAGTTGTTCAGTATGTGAGTTCTTGACATCTTGTGTATATGCCTTTTATTTGGATATTAAATAAAAGACCTGAGAAGAGGAGTGTATTGCATGTTAATATGATAAAAAAACTGTGAAGAATAACTAGCTCTGTTGGTATATATGATACTAAATTCAAAACCCTTCAACTGTATTTTATGATTTCTACCTTCTATGTGTTTCCTCAAACAACGTGTGTAGGCATTGCTGTTCTTAGACTGAATCTGGATGCTTAATTTGGACTTGAGCACAGTAATTTTTAAATTTCTGAATGAGTCAAATAGGGGTGGTTTCTTTTACATTTCCAAGGCAAGAACTCTCGAGAAAACTTGTTGTTTTCATGCTCTACTGAAGATTGTACTGCTTAATCTTCTCATTGTGCTGAATTTTAGAATTTGAAAGCTTCAAACACGAATGTGACTCATAGCAATTTGGCATTAAGCTCTTTCTAGTAGAAAATATTGGTGTCTAAATATTCTAGCATTGGGAACTTCCACAAGTCAGGAAGAATCATTTTGGATTGGCTGTATATCTTTTGCATGATTTTCTCTTCTTAGATGAGTAATATTATTGTTATTGTAACTAAATAATAAGGTTTTTGCAGGTAACTTTTGCATCACCTAATGAAGATGAACTTGTAGCCATGGCAAATGCAGTATCTGGCAAAGACATATTTCAACCAATCCGGAGAGATGATAGTAGTACTAAGCTGTCCAAGGAATCTTTCTTCCAAACGCTTAAACCTGCTATTTGGGTTTTGCTAGACAAAGGTGTTAAGGTACTTGTCGTAACACTTGGATCAGAAGGCGTACTCGTATGCTCCAAAGCAGAGTTCAATCTTCAGAGACTTGCTTTCAAGGGAAACCAATCCCCTTACTTCAGTAAGCAGTTGTATGAAGCTGTTAGTACAGTTTGCCCAAAGGACAATATTTTTGGTGCTTCAATTTGCAAGTCCATGTCAAATCTTTTTGCTGTCCATTTTCCTGCACTTCCTGCTTCAGTAGTGAGGCTTACTGGTGCTGGAGATTGCTTAGTTGGTGGAACGATAGCTTCTTTGTGTGCTGGTTTAGATGTCATGCAAAGTATAGCAGTTGGGATTGCAGCTGCTAAAGTAGTTGTTGAAGTAGAAAGCAATGTCCCTGATGAATATTGTTTGGCCAAACTAGCAGGTATTCACGCTCTGTTCCCTGATAAGATACAGTTAGGCCTGTATGTGTGACATTATACACATTCTCATTTGATGTTGCTTGCGTACATACAACACATAAATATGCCAGCATGGTTTTCTTAAATTGTGAATATTTCACTCTTCCGGCCACTCTCCCTCAGAAAATAAGAATCTTTTCTCCCTCTTTCCTTTTGTTTTCTTTTATTTTTTTCGTTGAATCATTTTTTATTTTTTGTTTTGCTTTCTGAAGAAGAATGATAGTTCACCTTAGTGTGCTAGTCCTGTCTTCGTAATTTCCCAAGCTATACACATGGGTTAACCGATAATATTGAAAGTATTGCAGTAAGATATTTTCGCAGAAGGTTTATTAGTAATGATAATGTGTGCTGACACTGGGTGTTCTCATTTTGCAGATGATGCAAGGTCTGTCTACTCCAGTGCCACCATGCTTCTGTGTCAATCCAAGTTATAGGTCACCTATGTATGTGAGTTCTATTGTGTAACCCTATTGCTTGTCCTTGCTGTAATCTGATCCAAATAAGAAACGGGTCATCAAAGTTTGTAAACAAAAACTAAGGTGATTTTTTCTCTTCTACTTAGCTGGGCAGAGTTACCGGTATTTCATACTAGTGCTAGTGGAAGGTAGCAAGTAGCCGACAAAATAGTTGAAATGCACAGTTAAGAGAGAAGAGCATGCAGTTGGAAATCATTATCAGAAACTGTAATCCAATAGGATAAATTAAAACCATCTACAGATTGTATGATTTAACTTCTCCAGTGTAGTTAGAATTGTATGAACAACGTACAAACACGTCACAAGTCATTTGGTTACAAAATTTGTTCATTCCTTTATTATTTGCATGGGTTTGAGTGAATCAGAATCATCTCCTTCTTCATCATCCGAATAGCAATCTGAAGAGGAGTTGGACTCATCCGATGATTCTGAAGAAGTCTGGCAGGGTTCTTCATCGTCGTTATCAAGAGATTGTGAATTTCCATCAGGATTCATGGCTTCAAGTTTTGAGATCTCATCTTTGCTGAGTTTGTTCTTCAACTCTTGCTGCTCCATTTGAACATGTTATTTAACTTGTATTAGTATCTCCCATAAAATTACTTCATAAAACACTGGTAGTTCTGACAATAAGTGTTTATTATAAAAGTTTGTGCATAATTACCTTGCAAAGAAAAATTAGTCAAACAGTGTATAAACTCATAAAATAAGAAAGGGGAACTCACCAGCAAGTTGTAGTTCTCTTTTTTAAGTTCCAGGCAAGATTTTGCACTCTTCTTCAGTAGGGAAGAGAGGGTACAAATTTCCTTCCTTAATTCTTCTTCGTTTGCTTTTAAAGAATTAACATTTTCCTGCAAGGAATAAAAGGTATGTGTTTTTATCAGTACTTAAAAAGATAGCTACTCTCGCTGTTTCAATTTGTTTGTTCCATTCTGATTTGGAGTGAAGTGTAAAACAATTAACACGATTTTTGAATTTTGTGGATTTTAATTAAATATATGTCAATTATATCAAAATGTATCATAGATATATTGTAATGTGGAAAGTTGAAAAGTAAAGAGTTGCAAAAAATATATATATATATATATTTTTAAAACGGACTAAAAATAAAAGTATCGTTAAGTCAAAAATCCAAGTTACGTACACTTTGGTGAGGTTTTGAACTGCCTTCAGCTGGTTGATTCTCATTCTCTCTGTTCAAAAGGAAAAAATAAAACAGAAGTGAGAAAATGTGAAAAACTAATAATTAAATAGAAAAGTTGCATATCATATATAGTTAATTATAAGAAGATTATAGAAGAAATAAATTTAACAAATTTGTCATATTCATCTAAAAGCACCTTTTTGGAGTCTGAATATTTGAAGGACATTGTGCATCTGCCTCAACACATTCATGGCTTTCACTCCTCAAGTTCAATTTCATTAATGTTTCACTTTGTTTTGAGTTTTCACTTGTCATTACCGCTTCCTAAGAAGAAAAGAAAAAGGGAAAAGTTACAACAAAAATTAAGAAAAACTATAGAAAGGTAAAGTTCAATACTTCTACGGTGGTGTACAAAATATTTACATAATCAGATCACATATAAATTACAAATAATCTATTATAATAAGCATTAATTAATAAAAGATATTGAGGCGTGAAACTATCTCATATGAATAAAATTTTAATTTTTAAACCAAGTTCAAAATTAAGTAAAACTCTGGTTAAGTTTTCAAATTAAAAATAGAGGTAAGGGAAGAGTATTACATGTATGAAATTGAATACTCATACATGAAATTTCAAATAATCAACTAACTTAAATTACTAAAATTCTTCAATTACACAACTTAAAGTATCTCATTCAATGGAAATAATTCAAGAAAAAAAATATAGCAAGAATGTATACTGACTCTGATCATCGTTCAATTATATATCTGGCTAATTTGACAAATCTTTTTGTTTGCAAAAATATATACCGCAAAATTGTATAAGAACGAAGAATTGAAGAGAAAACGTACAAAATAATTAAAAAAATACTGCATTATTATATATATATATATATAAGGAATCTGTATGGCTCAAGGATTACTTGTTCATATTATATTCAATTTCAAATTTTAATCGTAAATTTTCCATTTAATTTCCTCGGAATTGGGAAATCAAAGCACTGCCAGCTGGCACCTTTTGATTGGGGCACATAATTCCTTCCATATTTAAACGACTATTTAAATTATAATTTCACATCACACGTATAAAAATACCCCCTTCCCTATTTATATCATATGTGTGCTTACTTTAAAAAAATAAGTAGTTCTTAATCTTCGTAATTTTACAAAATTAATGTATAAATGATATTATTATTTTTATTTTATCTTTGAGAATTATGGTCTCAAAAATAAAAAAATTAAATGATTAATACATATTTAATTATTTTCAACTTCTAAACATTTAGTTTATACTAAAATTATGTTACATATCTGTTAAAATTTTAATGCTATATATATGTTATATAATCAATTTTATATTACGATATGATATTCAATATTTCATTATGTTATTTTTTGATATCAATAGCACACCAAATATCATAATACTAAAAACACGATATTATATAATAATTCGATATATATAATACCGTGAGTTTAAAGAGAGAAAAAAATAAAGGACAAGAAAGAAAAGAAAACTAATATGGCCTTTAGTAATTGACTCGTCAAAAGGAGCTGTCCAAGATTCCATGTTTTGAGCTTTAATTAATCACTCCGTACCTATGAATTTGGGTCAACAGTAAAAGACAGAAATACGGATAAAACAAATAATAGTACTATTAATTCCATAACCAAACAAAAATATTCCTATTTTGTTTCTATAATTTTTCTTATTTGCTTCTCTTTTTAGCAGATTGAGACACAAAATTTTTATTTAAGTACTACTATAAAAAAAAAGAATTTAAAGTACTAATTATTTAGACCAAGGCGTTCGTTATGCAAACCGATCGCCTATTATTAAGATCTCAAGTTTAATCTAATTTGATTTTTCTTTTCAATATTTAATAGAAAAATTAAATAAAATGATCCGTTTTTGATTTAAAATCAAAATTTATCTTGATAAGTAAGTAATACCGAAATTTAAACTTAAAGGTAATTGGAATAAATATTCTCTTTTTCCACCTTAACCTTCAATTTATATCTTAGACACTGTAAGGGTATCATAACATTGAAGTTATTTAAGAACTTTTTACACTATATGATAGTGATACAAAATTTGATGAATGCAATGCATTAAAAGGATTATATTACAAAATTAGAAAATGATATTTTGTTTTATTCCAAAATGAGTAGTTTTCTTAATTTGGACATACTTCTTAAGAAATTATTCATTTTTAGAAAAAAAAAAAGAATGTGTTTACTACTTATTCCTAATAAAAAAAAGGCTAATAATTGGTTTTGAGTTATGTAAACTAGGAAAATATTTCGAAGAATAAAATCAACCTGTTCTTGAACTTCTTAACTTCGTCATTTATTATAAAAAAATAAAAACATTAAAACAGTTTATTCTGAAACAAAAAGTAATATTATATTGATCGTGTGTGATAGACCGAGCGTATAAGAATAATATATTAACACTAAATTTAAGTACATTGGAAATTGAAGTATGGTTTAGTGATAAACCTTATTTAGCAGTATTATTTTTTATGCATGGTAAATTATGACACTAATAATACATCATATTATTCTCACTATAGTAATATACTCCCTCCGTTCGAAATAATTTGTCATGTTACGTTTATCGAAAATTAATTTGACTAATTTTCAAAGATAATTAGATCACATTAATTCGATATTTTAAACAAAAGAATTAAATATTCTAAAACTATATGAAAAGAACTATAAATTACAATTTTTTGCATATTAATATGATGAATTAATGCATCTTAAAATGTTAATTAAATTTTTTATAATTTAACTCTAAAAATAGAAACCATGACAAACAATACGAGACGAAGAAAACATATTTTATTCATTTAATACAATAAACAGAACTGTAAATAAAAAGCAATATTAATATAACTTATTTCGACAGTACTAATAAATTTTTATTATTATTATTATTAAGACATGCTATTCTTATTACTATTTTTAATATAATGTCAAAAACAATCTTTTGTGTTAAGCAATGTTTCTGTCATAACTCATAATAGAGTTAGTTTACTTTTGTGAAAAGGTGCAAAAAATTATCATGAAAAGAATTTATCTTATTTCACTTCTTGGACCTCTAAAATGGCAAGTCTTTCTATGATAAACCAAAAGAATAAACTTTGGATCCTTTATAAATCAACTTTCACTTTCCTTTTTCTTTTCATTTTCACTTTAAAGGGTTTCAACAAGACCACTGGCCTTTTTTTTTACACATCTCTGATTCTCACAGCTTTGGTAATTGTCAATCTGCCACAGGCTGGAACAATGTGCATATTTTTTCACACAGAAATTATTCACTTTCAGTCCCATTTGCTCTTTTTATCTTGAATATGTATACCCTTTTGGAATCTTGACATAGCGACATTCTTTTCTTGGTCTCATGAGTGTTATTTCCAAAAAAGGTATTTGGGTTTATCTGGTTTTTGATTTTTATTGTGTGGGGTTCTTGAATTCCTGTTTAATGTGTAATGTAGCTGTGAAATTGTTGTTTTGGGTAATGTTTTTGTGAATCTGATCTACTTGCTTTGAGAGATTTATCAGCTTATTGTAGTTATATTTCTTGATTTTGGAAATAAGGTGCATATGTATCTGTTTCTGTTCAGATCCATATTTGTTTCTTTACCAAAATGTCGATGTGTAAACCCAAATTTGTGCATCTTTTTTCTTCATACCACACTCATTAACACGTGATTTCACTATTCTAGAATTTAGAACCCGTAAAGTTCAAATCTTGGCTTCGTCTATGATTATTTATTTGTCTACTATACAGTGAACTTTGTCTGTCTGTTCAGTGATCTCCTTTCTCAATTCTCATTGGAGACAGAATGGTTACAATTTGAAGTCTTAGAAGGAAGATGCTAAGTTATTGATCTTTAAATGTTCTTTGAAGAGAAGTATTTTGCCAGTTGGTGTAGATTTAAAGACTTATAACTTGATATGATTCGATACATTATTTGATGCTTTTCGTTTTCTGTTTCACTTGTTTGTTTCCGTTTGTATTAACCAGTGAAACCAGGTTCATTTTCTTGACAAAATTAAAGCTAGAAACATGATTTTATTTATTCAGACCTTACTTGTTAGGTTGGTTAGAAACTTAGAATGTTGTATGTATGTTTAAATATCTTACTGGAATAGTACCTAGATCATTTTTGCTCCCTTTGCCTTCCTTCAAAGTCCACTTTACCACATTGAATATAAACCTCTTTTTTGACATTGTATATTCGAGTCTATGTAGTCCATTCTTTTTGCACACAGGTCTGAGATATTTGTTGTCCATTATGGCTCTCTTACACCAGTGTTACAAGTTGTTGAGCGCTATGTCCTTATTGAGCCCTTACTCATGACCAGTATTGAATGTGTAGATTAATATGACCTATTTGATAATTAAGTTCAGATATCAGCGTTTATATTGTCAAAGAGCGTGAATAAGACCGTATCATAAGAAGTTTGTATGGACAAATCAATTAGGTAGTCGTTTGCACAATAAACCTTGTTTTTAGTTCTGTCGGTTCCACTTCCACAACCATCCCCCAAGCTCATTCCTTTGGAACCTTCAGCAATCTTCAGTCTACTTGTCCTTCTACCTTTTCTACATCTAATTCAGAAGTTGAACCTGGTTCACCACCTTTTTCTTCTCAATCAAAATGATTTCTTTTTGGCCTTGTTCTTATCCCAAGATCATGAATGCAGGCATATTTTTGCTCAAAAAAGTTACGAAGATACTCCCTCTGTCCCATTATATGTCCCAAAAAATATGACACTTTCTTTTTTAGTTAGTCCCAGAAAGAATGATACAGTGCCTTATTTGGCAATATTTTATGACATTGTCAACATTTTACCCATGTTGGGTCCCACTTATTTAGCAAAAAGTCCACAAATGTGTACTCTTCTACTTTAAAAATTTGTTTATTTTAAGGACAGTTTTGGAACATATCAAAGTCTTCCCATATTTCGTTAACTCCATGTCCATTAAAACTACATCACATAAATTGGGACAGAGGGAGTATAAGATATGGACATATTTGTTTGTCAATTTTTTGGGATTGTGCCTCCTATATTGGCTGAACTTGGTGTAGTTGACACTTGACACTTGATTTTCTTGTTGCAGGTAGAAACTAGGTATTGAAGCATTCCTAGTTTTGCCTTGAACATGAAATCAAAATTAAAGAATGGCTTGTGTTCTGTGGTCCCTCTTCATTTACAAGGTGAATCCGCAACACGTTTTTGCATGTTTCCCAAAGTGAAGTCAGCTTGTTGTAGTCCAGGCAACACACCTGTTTACCTTAATGTGTACGACTTGACACCCGTTAATGGC